GGCCTCTCCTCTCTGGGGAACTAGGAGCCCAGGGTCCCATGTCTTGCCAGTCAGATACCCAGATTGCTACTGCCCTTTGGGACTTCAGAACCTTGGCCTACCTCCTCCTACTGTGTAGAGAGCACCCTCTTAAGAGCCAGTGTGAGGGGACGGGGCTTCGCAAAACCCCCCAACTCCTCCCCGGGAAGGCTTAGACCCATGCGCAGGGCGGGGCGTCGGCCCTGGTCTGTCTTTCCCCTCTGCAGAGTTTTGCCTGTCACTTTACCTGCCTTCAAGCCCCCCCCCCCCTCCCCTTTTCCTCTTACTCCCCCCCCCCCCCCCGCCCCTCCATCTCTCACTCTGTCTTTTTTGGTTCTCTGCTGCCTGAATTTACCTCTGGGCATCCCTGTGCTGGCTGGCTGTTCTTCTATCTCATGTCTTTCTCAGAGCCTCCTCCCTCCATCTCCAGCTGGCTCTTTGTCTTCTTCCCCCCTCTCTCTTCCTTCGTCTCCTTTCCTTCTTCCTCTGTTGCTTCCTTTCTCCCTGTGGGCCCTTTCCTCTGTCACTCTGTCTTTTCCTTCCCTCTCATGGTTACTTCGTCTACGCATCTCTGCTTCTCCCCACCAGTCCCTCCTCTGTTGCTTTCCCTGTCTCTTTCTCTGTGTCTCTGGCTTCTGCTCTGATGGTCCCTCTGCCGGCCTCTATTTTTATCCCTCTGACACACCTCCTGTGTCCACTTCTCTGTCTGTCTGTCTCTCCCCCTCCTGCTTCCCTTCAGGTCCCAGCTCCTGGTCCCAATTAGTTGGTGGCTGCCAAGGCAGAGGCAGGGCCCCCACTCCTGGCTCCTCATTACCGCTGGCGGCTCCTAATGAGCCTGGGGGGAGGGGGGCTGACCCGGTGCCCCCAGCCCCCTGGTCTGCGTCACTGCCCGCTGCGGGGGCTGTGGAGGCGATATAAGGGGGCTGCAGCCCGGCTGTCCGAGCCCACTGCGCGGTAGCGGGCCCTGCAAACGCGCGCAGGAGGTGGGTGGGTGGCGGGGTCCGGGGTTCTGGGCCAGGACGTGGGCCTCACTGAGCTCTTCCCTGTCTCTCCACAGGTGATGGCGACCCGCCAGGTGCCCAGGAGCCCCCGGGTGCGGCTGCTGCTGCTGCTGCCGCTGCTGCTGCTGCTTGTGCCCTGGGGCGACCGCACTGCCTCGGGAGTCGCCCTGCCCCCCGCCGGGGTCCTCAGGTAGGAGCGGCGCCCCGGACACCCAGGGGGGGCCGGGCATTCGGAGAGGAGGGAATAGACCCAAGGAGAAGGGGGCACAGACATTCGGGAGAGAGGAGGACGGAGACCAGCGGTGGAGCGAGTTAGAGTGTGGACAGGGAATCAGCACGAGGAAGAGAGAGAAGATTCTGAGAAAGGCGTTGAGAGATTTGAAAGGAGCCGAAGGAGAGCGGATTCGTTCCTTGAGCAAAGTTTACTGGGTTCTTAGTGTGTATCAGGCCGGGCGCTGAGCCCTGGAGTCGGGGGGGCGCGGGCAGGCATCAGACTCGGTCTCGGTACTCAGGGAGCTTCGAGCCCGGTGAACAGACAGAGACGCGTACAGAGGGAGACAGGGGGACAGAGGACAGACACCGAGCCACTCCACAGCCAGTGCAGGGACGGGGCTTCCAATTACAGGGCGGGGGGTACAGGTGGCGGCGGGCGGGGGTCCGGGACCTGCGGTAACCGCCTCCCTTGGTCTCCTCGCAGCCTCCGCTCCCCCGGCCGGGCCTGGGCGGGACCGGCCACCCGCCTGTCGCGGCGGAGCCTGGCGCTGGCGGACGACGCGGCCTTCCGGGAGCGCGCGCGGCTGCTGGCCGCCCTCGAGCGCCGCCACTGGCTGAACTCGTACATGCACAAGCTGCTGGTGCTGGACGCGCGCTGAGCGCCGCGCGCGCCCCACTTAAATAAAGATCCCGCAGAGCGCTCGGGTCTGCGCCTCCTTCCTGCGCCCAGGGTGTGTGCGCGGGATACACGGGCGGGGCTTGCGTCGCTACTCCGGCGTATCTCGTCCCCCCAGTCCCCTCTCTCTTTTCTCTCTCCTCCCCTCCCCCCCCCATCATCTTTCCCTCCCTCCACTCCTATTCTCTGTCTGCGTTTCTGCTCTGCCCTCCCTCCATGCCCCAGCTCTGGCCCCTCCTCTCGCCCTGGGCCTCTGTGCCTCTCCACCTGCAGGACTCTGTCCTCCTGTCTGGGTTTCTGTCCCCTTCTCTGGTTTCCTGCAACCTATCAGGTCTCTGTTTCCTTGAATCTCTGTCCCCTTCTCTAGGTCTCTGTCCCTCTCTGAGTGTCCGTTCGCCATCTCTCTTGAGTCTCTGTACTTCTGTCTCTTTTCACCCTCCTGGCTTCCTAACCCTCTGCCTCCTCTCCCTACTCTTCTTTCTGCCTCTAAAACTCTTCCTTCCATTCCTAATCGCTTTCTTTTTTCTCCCTCTTCCAGCTCTCATGTTCTCCGAATTTCGCCGTTTCCGCTCTCTCCTCACTTCCTGACTTCCCTCTGGGCGCAGTGGACAGATTGGGGGGGTTGCCTCTGGGGTGAGATGTGCCTACCATTCCAGACCAGGTTCCCCCAAACCTAGCTGTGTGGTATTGGGAAGTGCTGCTTAACCCTCTGAGCCTTTTTCCCCCCCTCATCTGAGGATTAACCGAGATACACCATGAGACAACTTCATCACAGCGCCCGCGAAGCAAAACGCTTTTGTTAGAAAAGGGTTTCTGCCTCTCTAGCAGCAGCCTCCAGAAGTTTGTTCAGGGTTTTCTGACTGCGCCCTTCCCGGGAGACCGTTGGGGCGGGAGGAGAGGACAGGCGTCAGGCTCCCGGAGGCGCAGGGCTGGGGAGCAGGTGAAGCGAAGCAGCAGCCAGTTAGAATCGTTTTCCCGTTTCTATCTCTGTCTCTCTCCTCACTGGCGGCTCCCGCCAACCCTTCAGTCCCAACGCTCAATGGTGACCATGGCAACCCACTCCGAGGGGTAAGCAGAGGGTTCTAAGGAGCTGGCCCGGGGCGCGGCTCGTGCGGATCGCACGCTGATTGGTCTAGAGAAGAGGGCGGGGCTGTGCGCGTGGGCTCGGGGGAAGGGGGCGGGGCTGGCGCTGGGTGACCGGCAAACTCTCGCATCGGTTGTATTTCTGGGAGGCGGACCGCGCCCTAATTGGCCCTCAGGCTGTAGGGGGTGGACCTGCTTCTCTGTTACTCAGATACTGAATAATGAAGGGATAACTATATTCCTCAACACCATCTGGAGTCGGCCAGATTTCATAAATAAGACTCTGAAAGTCAAGAGTAATTTCCCCAAGGTGTCAGCGCCAGTAAAGGACAAAAGGGTAACTGGAACGCAGATCTGTGTGACTTCCAATCTAGACCTTGCCATTACTCTCATGGAGAAATGGGATTAAAGAGTTATGAGCAGTTACTATATGCCAGGCCCTCCTCTAAATATTGCACTCCTATTGGCTCTTTGAACCTCACAACCACCCCGTGAGGAGCCTGGCTTTTGGCTGGAGAGCCTGATAGCTACGTCTTGGCCTGAACTCCCATACTTCCTCCCTAGATGTCTTCCCTAGCGTTTGAGGCTTTTCATAAAATGGTGCCTGGAAGCCCTTCCCTCCCCACTCTCCTCGGCTCTCCCCAGGAAATTTCAGCAATTCCCAAAATGTCAATGACAGGTAATAACACGCAGAACCCCATCTCCAGACTGTGAGCTCAAGGCTCAGGGCGCCAGCCACTTATTGCAACGCTGACACTCACCCCATCCCACATGAGCTCGGTGTTGCCCCAAGCCCACTCCTTCTCATGGGTTCCCATTTTGGAAATGCTCCACTGTCTACCAGTCATTGGGTCACACCCATGTGCTGTCCTTGCCCCTTCCTTCTTCAACCTCCTTCACAGCCATCAGTCTCTGTCTCCGTCCTTCCTGCCGTGCCTCTCTGCCCTCCCCCTTCTTTCCATCCACATGCCCATCTCAGCTCAGGCCTCATCCTCTCCCACCTGGACCACAGCCCCAGGCTTCTCCCCACATCCTGCCTCCAGCCTCACTTCGTATTCATCCCCCATGCAGGCTCAGAAGCTCTCTTCCCCACCTGGAGCTAATTCTGTCCTTTCCCTGCTCATAGCCCTTTCTTGGGCACTTGAGAATCAAGTTCCAGCTGGTGTTCCAAACCCTTCATGGGCTCTTGCCTACCTCTTTTCTCACAACTCTGTAGCCTCAAATACTTCCTTGGCCCCCAACCCCCCTTTTTTTCTTTTTAATCCCAGCAACATGGTGCTTTCTATGGCCCTCTGCACACAGAGGCTCTTTCCCACCACGTGGTCTTCACACACACTATTCTCTTTGCCCATGACACCCTCCTTCGGTCCCTGCCCACTGTAATAAACTTTACTCATCTTTCAAGACCGCACACAGATGTCACCTAACTGGGACAAAATCTCTATCCTTCCAAGAGGGGTTAAGTGCATTTTCTGGGCTCCATGGAACCTACAGCTACCTACCTCTATCACTATTTGCCTTTAAATAGGGGTAACTCTGACCCTCCCCTGCTCAAAACTCTCCCAATGAAGCCTCTGTGGTGCTGAAACTGTTCATATCTTGCCCTGGGTTTTGGTTTTGTGGGTGTTTGCATATGCAAAAACTCATGCACCTGACACTTAAGATTTGTCCATTTATCTGTATGGTTCCAGTTTTAGTGTATGTGCTGCTGAAGCGAGCATGTCCATTTATCTGTATGTAAGTTGCATCTCAATTAAAACATAAATAACCAAAAAAAAAAAAAAAACCAAACAAGCAATAAGATGTCTGAAAGCTCCCATCATCCTCAGGAGAAAAGCAGTGCTCTTCAGCCTGGCATCGGAGGGCCTGTTTTTCTACAGCTTTATCTTCCTTTTTTAAAAAAATAATCTAATGAATTTTTGAAAGATTTTATTTATTTGAGAGTGAGAGAGCACGCAAGCATGAGTGGGAGAGGGGCAGAGGGACAAGCAGACTCCCTGCTGAGTGGGGAGACCTCGAGATCATGACCTGAGCCAAAGGCACTTAACAGACTGAGCCACCCAGGTGCCCCTATAGCTTTATCTTCTAAGGTCTAACTGTGACACGAGGATGAGAGTAAGCAATGAGAGAGCAAACGGCACAGTGGTCCATTTCCTGCGGGCTGTTTGTACTGCAGGGGACATCTGTGATGTGTGCCCGGCCCACGTGTCCCTCTCCCTCTTTCTGCCAGGAGAGGGGAGAGGTGCTCAGTCTCCCGGCCTCTCTTGCAGCTAGGAGTGGTGCAACAAACAATTCTGGCCGATGAGACATAAACACAGGTCTGCTGCTGGCTCTGGGAAGGCCACGGCTTTTCTTTACAAAGAAAGGAAGGGATGCGTCCCCTTCTTCCTACAGACGCGACGTATGAAGCTATGCGTGTCATCTCCGGAGACAGAGGGAAGGGCTGAGAGGATCTCATAGAGAATCATAGCTCCCTCTTACCCCAGGCTGCGGAGACTCGAGCTGTGGGCCCACAGCTGTCCTCCTCCAAACTTGTTTTAGGAGGAAAATAAACCCTTAGTGTTTAATCCATTATTGGGTGTGTTTTGCTATTGCTCAGAAATGTAGTCACCAATGTTAAAAAAAGAACCGAAAGACTTAACAGAAAAACCCAATACAGGGGTGTGGATCCTGGAGCACTGTATCTGGGGTCCCCACACCGGGTTCCTCTCAGCTCAAGGTGGCACAACAGTGGTAACAACAGTGGGATTCCCGGGGAATTCTCTTGACTGGACTTGCTCTGAGCGGCTCACACAGGGGGCGGCTGGAGGTAGCAGAGCTGGAGGTGGGGCCAGGTGGGGGGCGGGGACCGGCCCAGAAGCAGGAGGGAGAACAGCAGGAGCAGCAGCAGGCCCAGGAGGGGTGCCGGGGTCAGCGGGGGCCGAGCGACCCTGGTGGGAGGCAGTCCGGTTCTTCCGGAGGGCCCCGGGGCGGGGGGTGGCTGGTGCTGTCTCAACAGGGGGCAATGCCCCAACGTGTGATGGCCACCCTCCTTCTGGAGCCGCTTCGGGGTGCATCTGAGCAGCCGGGGCTGCAGCGGGGGCAGACAGAGCTGGCCCGAGACTGGCCTCCCGACTGGGACCAGCTCTTTTCGCACAGGCACCAGGGCTTGCCGCGGCTTGGGCTCGGCAGGGCTGCTGGACGGAAAGGAGGGCAGGGCAATTATGCTGGACTTTGCCTCTGCCTCCAGGCCCCTTCCAGTCCCCAGGGTCCTGTTACCTCTCAGGAGGGCTTCCTGGAACATCTTCAGGGTGAGGGTCCCCCAGAAGGCTGGGGAAATTGGCCTAGAAGGACAAAGGAGACAAACCTGAGACCCTCGGTCCTGGATTGGGAAAAGCCCTTGGTTCAGGCCACTGCACAGAGGTGACCACATGGAAGCGGGTGGAACACAGTGAGACACCCTGCCAGGCTGGGTTCCCAGCCCTGTCGGCTTCCAGCTGCATGTCCCTTAGAAGGTCACCCTGCATCTCCATGCCCCACTCTCCCCATCTGCTGGACAGGGTCCGCGACAGTCGCCAGCTCACAGGGCCAAAGGGGGGTCTGCATGAGGGAATGCAGGTCAAAAGCAAAAAAGTGGGAGGGCACTTGGAGCAGTGCCTGGTGCATAGTGGGTGCTCAGTAATTATGGGAGCTGTTCAAAATTACTATTTCCATTTGCATCTGATTCTGCAAGCATCTAAGCTCCCTGAGGGCAGAGACCCCATCTCCTCCAGGAGTCCAACCCTGTGCTGGGCCTAGTCCAGCATGGGCGCTCTTCCTGCCTGCGTCAGAACCTGCAGGTGCTTTAAGATGAAAGCCCCAAGTATTTCTCCAGGGGCCACCTCACCGCCCCCCCCCCCGTGTCCCTCTGAAAGGACGCCCCCCTCTGTTGGCCTCCGGCTTTCCCACCCATGGATGCTGATGATGGCAGTGAGCAATAATGAATAACAGGGGCCACCAGACTCAGCCCCTCCCTTCACCACAGCCACCTACTGTGCGCCTGCTCTGGGTGGGGGGGGCTTTCCCTTAAACAACATCCCCCCCCCATACAACTGGGAGAGATCGGTGTCAAGTCAGCTGTGAGGGAACCCAGTCTCTGTGGAGGAGAGTGGGAGGTGGGCTTTGGGGGTCAGGTTGCACAGAGAGACCACCTTGTAGGGTTTGGACCCTGAAGGGGCCCAGATGCCTGGCACACGTTTGGGCTCTCACATTCCTACCCTGAGGACCACGGGCTCCCTACCGCTCCTCCCCGAGCTTCCCTCCACTCCCCTGCCTTGAGAATGGGGATTGGCACCTGCACCTCGCCCTGTGGCTTTGAGGAGCAAAGCAGCTGGTGTGTGTGGTGCCAGGCGGGGGAGCTGTCACAGGCGCTGTGCCCCAGAGAGTTCTGGGGCTGGCTGGGGAGTGCCTGGCCCCTTCCTGTGTGTGGGTGCATGTGCGTGTGCATTTTCGCATTCCGGGGGTGTAGCCACGTCTGTGAGGCCTGTGGCTTAGCGGCTGCAGCCCTGTGTATCTGCTTGGGGGGGTCCCCCGGGAACATTCTGGCCGCCCACTGGCCTGCAGGCCTCCCCCCACGGCTCTGTCCGCTCTCATTAGGCATAGCAAGGGCCTTGTTATCTCTTGGCCAAATGATTTTTCTGTCTGCTCAGGAGAAGTGGGGGTGTGGGTGAGGGCTGGGAGGAGCCGCCACTGCGTCACCCTCCTCAAGGGCCCGGAGTGGGTGGGGACTGGGAAGGGGTGCTGGGGACTGCCTACCGTGATCTGGGGCTCTGCTTCCTCCTCTTCCTCTCTTCTGGGCAACCTGAGGGGACAACAGAATCACTGCAAGCATCTTCCCTTGGCCTGGCTCCTGTTCACCCACCGTGGTGCTGGATGAGCCTTTATTTTATTTTATTTTTTTAAAGATTTATTTATTTATTTATTTGACAGAGAGAGACACAGGGAGAGGGAACACAAGCAGGGGGAGTGGGAGAGGGAGAAGCAGGCTTCCCGCCGAGCAGGGAGCCCGATGCGGGGCTCGATCCCAGGACCCTGGGACCATGACCTGAGCCAAAGGCAGACGCTTAACGACTGAGCCACCCAGGTGCCCCTGGATGAGCCTTCAAAGCAGGGGTCTTAATGGGGACTAGGCATCATGGATGGGCCTGCGGGTGTCCTGAGCAAACTGCTGTGTGTAGGTCAGTGTGCATATTTTGCAGGGGAATTTTCAACAAATTCTCAAAAGAGTGTGTGACCCCCAAAAAGGGTAGGAGGGTCTCTTGATCAAACTGGCTTTCTCTTCTGCTATTTTTCCAGCTGATGCCCTAGCTGGGAGCTAGGCTTCTGCTCTCTTACTCTCCCAAACACCAGAGACTCAGAGCTCCCTGAGACTCCAGGGCAGGTGTAGACCCACCCCCCACTTCGTGCCTGAGGGGTTGTGCCATTTTCAGTGAGTCTCAATCTTACTGGGTCTTCTTTTAGGACTGAGATTCCAGAAGCCAAGTGTGAGCAACTCCCCTCACAAATCATTTCTCTTCGGTGTGCAAGCCTCCAACCTCTGCCCCTCCAAGGGTTGCAGCTGCCTGAGCCCCTGAAATACCTATCTGGGGACTTAGACCTCAAGCTGCCCAGCCCAGATGCCCCTTAGAGATCCAGATATCCATGCCACTGGCTACCACCTTCACTGGGGACCAGGGGTCTGGACCTCCAGCTGCCGCCACCTTGACACCCTCAGGACACAGCTGCGTCTTCAACTAGCACCCAAAAAGTGCTAGTAAGCTAGGCTGGTAAGCCCCCAGCCTCTGCCCAGTCAGACACACAGCTGTCTCATCCCCTGGAACTGATGCTTGGCCCCCAGGTGGCTCCTCCCCCAGAACCTCTCAAGATCCAAGCCCTCACCCTTAGTCACCTTTAGGGGCCACGGTATTCACCACCTCCCTTGTTTCCAGCTTCCCAGTTTGTGGATCTCACTGCCCTGCTCCTGGGAAACTCAGATGTCCAGCCCCTGCCCCTGCTGCTGCTCAGCCCCTTCTCCCTTCCCTTCCCCGGTGACGCAGGGGGAGGTCATAGCTCTGGAGCCCCCCCTCCTGCCCAATCTCAGCTTTCTCAGACAAGTCCAATTAGAGGCCAGTGGCAGGCAGCCTCATTAGTTGTTGCAGCCAAGAGCCCGAAAGAGGGGAGGGGCGGGGCGGGAGGCACCACAGGAAACCACAGACCCCAAGGCCAGGCCTGAGAAGGCTGGGCCCAGACATCTAGGGCTTTATCTCTCCTCAGAGGCCTGCAGCCGAGCTTCCTAACAATCACAGGGCTGGGGCTCCACGGCACTGATGCTCACACCACCCCCATCCTGGGATTTGAACCCAGGCTGTCTGATTCCAGAGTTCCCGATTGTCTCCTAACTACCTGGATGTTCTCCAAGGGCCGGTCTGGGTTTCCTTCATCCCAGGGTTCCCTGGAGGCCTTGGGAGAGGTGTGCTCAGTGACAGTGACCCAGTGACTGAGCTGTCCCATCAGCCAGACAACTGTCTTCTTGTCTAAGAGTCTCCTATATGAGTACTGCTCCTATGGGACTCCATTCAAGCATCATGTCCCCGGGAAGCCTCCCCCACCAGGTGGCTCCAAGCGCCAGGTGCCCTCCTAGAACCGGCTGGGTCAGAGTCTGTCTCCCTCTAGACCAGGAGATGCTGAAGGCAGGGCTGGGGATGGCTCATCCTGGTCCACAGGCCAAGGGGCACTTCAGTGGGAGGGAATGAATGAAGGAGTGAATGATGTGCAATTCCCCCCGGGGCTTTTCCAGTCCTTGTACACTCTCTAAGAAGGTGGTGCCCCCCCAAGGCAGGGGGATGGCTCTGGAAGGAACAAGCTTCTTACCACATCGATCGCTCCTTCCTTCCTCCCTGAGGGCACACTGGTTCTCCCTGCAAGTTTCTCTGTGGGAAAAGGAAAGGTTAGGTCTCCTGGGCTGTGACACCTGCAAGAATTCACCACCTGCTTCTAAAACCTGCCCTCCTCCTGGGCCCCCTCCCTGCCCTCAGCCGCCCTGTGGCTCCATGGAGAAAAGTACGATCTCCCCACTTGATTTACAGGGAATTCCTGTTGTGATCGGGCCTCATGGCTCCCTAGCCACCCGCCACTCCCTCTGCTGCCCAAGCGTGTTCTGTGCTTTCATGCCCCACATCCCCGCGCGTGTGCTTTCTGCTGCCAGGAAGGCTCCTCTCTCCTGACACCACTTAACTTCTCTCTTCTCTGAAATAAACTCAAGTGTCAGTTTCCCTGTGACACCTCTATAGTCTCCCACCTGACACAGGTTCTCCCTTTGCTAGGCTCCCTCAGGGTCCACCCCCCACCTCTGCACACACATCACCCTGCATGGGGATGGCCCGTTCGCACGATCTCCCCACCAGGCCCTGAGCGGCTCCGCGCCATAGCTCCGGGACCTGGAGCCAGCGGCACCCTGAGGCCTGGGTCGGCACTCCCCTGGATGGGGTGTTGAGAGCTCCCAGTGGAATTCACTCTCACACCTCCTCGGAGGGATGTGACTCTGTCGCCCACAGGCTGTGTGACTGGGACGGGTGACCTCTCTGAGCCTCGGTTTCCCACAGGTAACAGGATGAGGGGTGAGGCTGCATACCTCGCAGAGATATGGGGGGAAGTAAATGAAAAATCAGGGGCGCCTGTGTGGCTCAGTCAGTTAAGTGGTTAAGCATCTGACTCTGGGTTTTGGCTCAGGGCATGATCTCAGGGTCATGAGATCAAGTCCCCCATTGGCTCCGTGCTCAGCGTGGAGTCTGCTTGAGAATGTCTTTCTCCCTCTCCCTCTGCTCATCCCCCAGCTTGTGCTCACACTCTCTCTCTCAAATAAATAAATCTTAAAAAAAAATTCAAACAGGGTGCCTGGGTGGCTCAGATGGTTGGGCGTCTGCCTTCGGCTCAGGTCATGATCCCAGGGTCCTCGGATCGAGTCCCGCATCGGGCTCCTTGCTCAGCGGGGAGCCTGCTTCTCCCTCTGCCTCTCTCTGTCTCTTATGAATAAGTAAATAAAATCTTTAAAAAAAATTCAAACAGCATGGGTTTTGAAGGGAAACCCAGAAATTTCTCTCAACCCAGGGAGAAAATGAGCAAAGAAATGAGTTTCTCATTTAAGAATGGTGAACAGTATAATTCTGAAGCAGTATTATTTTCAAGACAATGCAGTTACAGAGCTGTTAGCAATATTTTCTTTTTCAAAAAAGAGAAAGAGAGAGACTTCTGGCACTAATAGATTAAAATCTCACTTTTCTGTTGTGGACATTGAAGATGAGTTGTCTTGATCATTTTGACGGATGTTGAAATACTGCTCAGGTAACTACAGAAGTCATAAAACAACCGCTATGGGTGAGTTCAAGATTTCACAGTGGGCTTGCTAAGTTGCTCTTAAAGGTGCCTTGCATCCCAAAAGTAAAAGCTTAATGTATCTTTATGGTGTTCGGAGAACGATTCATTTCTTAGCTTCCCCCTGCAGGACCATTGTAAATGCAGTGCTTCCTGACAGTGTTTTCGCAATGACAGAACTACCACCGTGCAGTCTGCGTTCGCTTTGCTTGCTCTTGTCTGCTCCCCTTGTGGGCCTGTCCCCAGAAGACAGGGATGGTGTCCTGCTTGGCTTGGGCTCTGTGTCCAGCAGGCCCTCGGTCAACGTTTGCCCGTGGAATGGGCAGCAAACTCGTGGCACGTGGAGTCCCAGGCCCCTTTCCCGGCTCCTGGACTCCGGTGGTCTTGGAGCCCCTCCCACGCTCACCTGTGCCCCAGTTGGGGCTTCAGGCGGAAATTCCACTTCCTCATCCGTCTCAATGATGACCTCCTCCCACTGCCACACGCCACACAGAGGGCTGGCGAGAGCGGCAGCTGCCACTTCTTGTTTCTGGCAGAGGAGAAGCTGTTTCTGAGGCCAGGGAGGGCCAGGTGAAGGCACAAGATGGGTCAGAGATGGGGATGGACACGGGCTGAGGCATGGGGTGAGAGAAGACGGTGGTGGGGGGTGCTGGGGTGAGGCTGGGCTGAGGAGCAGGTAGAGGCAGGACCTGGGAAGGGTTTGGCAGCAGGACCAAGGACTGGGGTAGGGATGAGATGAAGGACTGAGATGGTCCTGGGCGGGGGGAGATGGGGTAGGGTGAGAATCAGGGCTGGGTCAGAGCTGTGGCGGGTGGTGGGTTGGGGTGTTCCCGAGGAGCCAGGCCCACCTGCCGAATGGCCTCGATCTCCACGCCCAGTGATGGGGGCAGCAGCCTGGTCCAGCCCACTCTTCTCACCTGGGCCCCTTCCGGTAGCCTGGCCACATGGTCAAGAGGGGAAGGCTCTCTCTGTGCCTGCCCCCTACCTGTCAGTCCACCCACTCTGGGGTGGCTGCTCTGCCCACCTTGTGGCTGGAGGTTGGGGGTCCCTGCCTTTGGGCTCCCCTCCTGCCTCCTTCACCCCTGATGTTCCACTCACTCATCCGGCCCCTCATGGGTCTGACTCAGCTGTTCCTCCAGGTGTGAGATTTCCAGCCTCAGTTCCTGCAAAGGAGGGAGTGGGGAACCCCTGCCTCTCTGTTCTTCTCCATCTGCCAGCCTTGGGCTCCTCTTACAGTCAGTTCCACTCCCCTGACTTCTTTGGGCTCCTCCAGACACATATTGCCAAGGGACAGGAGGGAAGAAAGCAGTGACAGAAATTTAGGAAGCCAAAGAGAGACTGAGAGCAGCAGGAACCCAGAAGGCAACCCACCAGCCAGGAAAATTAAGAACAAGAGGCATGGATGGACACAGATTCACAGAGGGGTAAAAGACACACGAGGTGTAGGAGACTCATAACGATCAGGGGCAACAGAGGGTAGAGTCGCCCCTGGAGACAGACAGACTAGATCAAAGAAAGGCAGACACACAGAAAGATGAGCAGGGGAGATGCGGTGACAAAACCCCCACAGAGAAAGAAACTAGACCGGAGGTGGAGATACACAGAGGGAGAGAGAGAGAGAGAGAGAGAGGAACAGAGGACAAGTGAAAAGGCAGAGAGAGAGACACAGACTCCACAAGACGGACAGGGCAGAAAGAGGCAGTGAACTGCAGAGATGGCAGAAGATCGGGGCCAGGCAGGGGGCCAAGGGTGGGAGGGCAGCTGGCTACCTGGGTCGTCGTTCTGTACTCCTCCAACGTCTTGGCCAGACTCTCCACGTGGCGAGTGCGCTGGGGAAGCCCAAAGCCCACTGAGATGGGGCCCAGCTCCGCAAAGATGCAGAGGCAGGGGTAGGGGAGACTGGCAGGGTGAACTTGGGGGAAGAGCTAGGGCCTGAGGGAGAGCATCAGGTTTCTAGATCCTGCAGGGACAGGCTTGCCACACCGGGGGAACCCTCTGACCTCTCTGGGCTGCTTATCCAGGGATGAGACCCAGGCAGGACTCCCCTTTCCAGACCTTGGGGCGGGGGCAGGGGACGGCCAGGAGCACATGGAAGGCAAATGTCACCTCACCACTCCCAGGCCACTCACCTCCGAGAGGACATCATCTCGTTGGCAAATGAGGCATTCACACTCATAGAGCTGCCGCTGCCAGGGAAGGAGCCTGTCCATCTGTCTGGCCTCCCAGGAGAGGCCTCAGCCGGTGCTGCCATCCCCAGCCCACCCAGCTCTCCTGAGCCCCGCGCCTCAACCTCCCACGACGTCTCTGGACATCACCACCCGGAGAGGGATTTTAGCCGAGCTGCCTGGAGCCCTGGGAGCCTGCCGGCTTGAGGAAGTCCCCAGCTCTCACTCGACTGGAGCGGTTGAACCTGGTAGAAATGACACTAGGGAGGGGTGGCACCTTCAAAGCCTCCTTCTCCGTGGCCAGCTCCTCGCTCCTCCTTTTGACTCCATTCCGCTCAGCCAGTAGCTTCCCGTTCTGGAAGAAGGAACGGCCACTTCAGCCAGCGGCAATGTTAGCACGCGCAGCCGACATTTCCTCAACACCTGACAGGCAACAACAGGCCTCGTGCCGAGCACTTTATATATCTGGGCCCACTGAATCCCTCCACCCACCCTATGAGATCTCAGGTGTGATCTCTCTGTGCGCCACTGGGTGCTCGTCTGTCAAACATGCAGATGAGATAAGACCTACTTCACGGGGCTGATAACAGTATCTGTGAGCACGTTCTGAGCACCTTGCAAGTGTTACCTCACTTCTTCTCCCCCATTGTGCAGATAAAGGCAAGTCTGGCATAGAAAGGTTGAGCACCCCCCTCCCCCAGGTCATACAGGTGGTCATTCGTGCAAACACATGCTACTGTATGTTAATAAACACAAAGCATTTAGAAGGTCACCTGGCACATACCGAATGTTCAGGAAATGTAAAATATGTTTTATTTTTTTAAATTTTATTTATTTGACAGAGAGAGACACAGTGACAGAGGGAACACAAGCAGGGGGAGTGGGAGAGGGAGCAGCAGGCTTCCCGCTGGGCAGGGAGCCCGATGCGGGGCTCGATCCCAGGACCCTGGGATCATGACCTGAGCCGAAGGCAGACCCTTAACAACTGAGTCACCCGAGTAGGCACCCTGTAAAATATGTGTTTTAAAGATACTTTCAGAGTGCTGCTGTGAATTGTGCAAGACTGTTGAATCACAGATCCGTACTTCTGAAACAAATAATGCAATATATGTTAAGAAAAAAAAAAGAAGAAGATAACAGGAGGGGAAGAATGAAGGGGAGTAAGTCGGAGGGGGAGACGAACCATGAGAGACGATGGACTCTGAGAAACAACCTGAGGGTTCTAGAGGGGAGGGGGTGGGGGGATGGGTTAGCCTGGTGATGGGTATTAAAGAGGGCACCTTCTGCGTGGAGCACTGGGTGTTATGCACAAACAACGAATCATGGAACACTACATCAAAAACTAATGATGTAATGTATGGTGATTAACATAATAAAAAAAATAAAAATAAATAAAGATACTTTCAAAACTTCATGTTCTAAATGTTTCTCACACACACACAAGTAAAAATACCAGTATAATGGACTCCCACTGCCCACCGCCCAACTTCAATAATTATTTACATTTTCCTAGTTTCTTCCTTATTCTCCCAAGTTAGTTTTGTTTTGTTTTGTTTTATTTAACAGATGACTCTAAAGCAAATGCCAGGTAGCCTGTGATTTCTACCTAGAATGACTCCGGCATTTTAATTTCCTACGTAAGGAATTTTTTACTTTACCAAACTCACAATACCACGATCACTGTTAACAAAATAATTCCTTACTATTATCCCATATCGAATTTGTGGTTGTGTTGGTTTTTTTTCATTTTGGTTGTCTCACAAAAGTCTTTCCACATTTAATTTGTTTGCATGAGGATCTAAACAAGGTCCACCGTGGCTTTTGATTGAAATATCTCATTTCTTTTCCTCTGACAGTGGTTGCCCACCTGTCCCAACCCAGGCACTTTTGGGGGGGCCCATCTTTTGGGGAAGAAATCCGGTTATTTGTCCCGTAGAATTGGTGCATTTGGACTTGGCTTCCTGAGTTCTCATTCCCTCCGCAGGACGTTCACCATGTTCCTCCAGCCTCTTCATTTCCTCCAAACTGGTGGGTAGATCCAGGACCCTGTCCAGGCTCCTGTTCAATTTTTTGGCAGGAAGATTTCCTGGGTGCTGCTATGCATGTCACATTGTGCCATTCGGGAGGAATGTCATGTCTGGTTGTTAATGTTTTTCTTGGCATCACCCTCTGATTTTACAGAGGAAACTGACAAGTGGAGGGGCTAAGAAACTTGGCCAAGGTCACATGGTAAGTGAGTGGACTCAAACCCAAATCTAACTCCAAATGCTGCACTTATAACCCCCAGACTCTCTGAGCCAGACGCAGCCCCGGGTGAGAACGGGGAACCAGCTTCATCTCTGGCCTCAGGGAGCTCATCGCTAGAGGTGGGGACCGGTGCAGAAGCAGATGATAACAACTTGGGAGGTAGACTCTGATGAGGCCTAGCGCCTGGGCCCTCTGGAGCCCAGATGAGGGGCTTCTTGAAGAGGCAGTGCTGGGGCACCCTGAGTCCTCCAGGGGGAGAATTATCCGAAAAAACAAGGGGGCCAGGAGAGGGGCAGCTCACGCCAGCCACGAAATGGGATCTGATGATAAAATGGCCCCAAATCTAGTCTACAGTTTCCAGGCACCAAAAACTCAGCAACCCGCACCGACTTCAATGTGAAGCGGCCACAGGCAAAAGCATTTCAGGGCAGAGAGGCAGTTGGACTTCCCTTGCCACGCCCCTCCTCCCTGTGCCCCTGGGGACACCAAGGCCAGTTCCTCCCTCTCTCCAGCTGGCTGGGCTCCAAGTCCTCCATCAGCCATCCCTCCTTCTTGGTCTCCGCGGGCCTGGGCTGCCAGGTGAAGGGCAGAGGAAGGACAGGCCAGGAATGCTGTGTCAACATCTGTCCACCTGGTGGGGATTTGGAGGCTGGATTCTGGGCCACCCGGCAGGGAACCTGGTTACTCAGCCTCTCCTTCCTTCTTCTGCAGTAACCCGAGCCCTGGTCTGTAGATTCTCTGTAGGAAAGTTGAGTGTCTGAGTGTCCCTTACTCCAGCATTATTCTCCTGTAACTTGAGAACTCGATCTATAGATGCTCTGTAGGCTGCTGTGGGGAGGGGAAAGGTAGGGGGGGAGTCAACCAAGAATAGCTCCGGTTTATCGAGCGTCTAGGATGTCCCAGGCGCTGCTCAAGGCACCCGACCTGGCAGCAGGCCTTCTGGGCTGGGAGGAGGCAGAGACTGCTGGCTGCGATTCACCCTGCTTATTCCTTCTGCTTTTGTTGGGGGTCCACTCTCCACCTGGGCAGGCAGGTCCTAGCTCCGCTCTGGGGGGTGAATAAGAGGGAGATCTCGGCCGATTCGGGAGAACTGGCTGGTTAGCTAACCCAGCAGCCATTCTCACCCCCTCTCACTTTCCCATCTCCTACTCCAGAGGCTGAGCAAGGTCAGATATTCTCCCAGCCTCCCTTGCAGCTGGGGCTGTCATGTGATCCAGTTCCTGCCAGTGCGATAGAAGAGAGGTATGCTGGGGTGGTGCGTATAGTGGGGGTGCTTCTGGAAAAGCTTTTCCTTCTGATGAAAGGAGAGCCATGAGAGGAGCATTAGCTGGGCCCTCTTGCCCCTCTCTGTCCTGCTTTGAATGAGACCACGAGGGCAGAGCTTTTGCAGCCATCTCTGATCATGAGGCCACAGGCCGATGAACAAGCCTGAGTCACCAAACCAACACAGAGAACTTCAAAGTCTCTTCTTAAGGAAATGATGTCCTTCAGATTGAAGCCGCCATTTCTTTGGTGTTCTCTTCCTTGGAGTTGAAGGTATTCTGGCCCATCCGGGGTTGGATTACCCATGCCAGGGAGTGGTTCGGCTATAATCATATGATGTCATTTTAGTCAATAAGATATGAGAGAGGTTCTGCCATGGGGCCGTAAGGAAAATTTCTCCTTGTTCTTTTTTTTTTTTTTTAAGATTTTATTTATCTATTTGACAGAGAGAGACACAGCGAGAGAGGGGACACAAGCAGGGGGAGTGGGAGAGGGAGAAGCAGGCTTCCCGCAGAGCAGGGAGCCCGATGTGGGGCTTGATCCCAGGACCCTGGGATCATGACCTGAGTTGAAGGCAGACGCTTAACGACTGAGCCACCTAGGCGCCCCAATTTCTCCTTGTTCTTAAAAAGAGATGTTCTGGAAGAAAACAGTCACATCCGGTGTGCACCCATGCCTCACACTGTGGCAGCCATCCCGTGGTGAGATTCCCATTGTCCCAGAGGATGGAATTTTCATGGAAGAGCCAGAGAACAATAGTGGAAAACTTTGGGATTTAAGTGTAAAAGCCATAATACAGATGTAGGACAAAGAGATTTGGGGGGATTGGGCAGAGTCAGTATCATTGCCTGGACTGGGCAGAGATCCTTAGGGCGGGGGAGGGGCATAGGAGGGTCAAAGAAGAGAGCAGTAGAGGGAAAACAGGTCCTGCGCCAGCCCCAAGCCCCGGGTTAGCTGCAAGGGGTTTAGAGGTAGGATGCAGTTGAACCATGCAACCCCTGGGATGTCTGGGAATCCGAGAGGGGGCATTTCTCAGCTCAGTCTCAGAACCAGCAAGGCCTGTGAGTAACAGAATGGAGATGGCTGTGTGAGGAGAGGAGGCAGAGAGGCCCAGAGAGGCCCCTTGTGGCCACAAAGAGCCTCAGGAAAGCAGCTAAGCCTCCTCTGTGGCCCTGGAAGGGTGTGGAAGGGGCTGAGGGAGAGCCCCCAGAGGTCCTTGTGTGTAGGGGGGTCCAGAGGGCCACCGCCAGCAGATGCAGTGAGGACTGTATGTCCAGAGACCAGAGGCAATGCCAGCCTCCCAGTGGATGCCAGCATGTGGTGGTGACTAAGGCGGAGGACCAGATGGGATGATGAACATCAATCTGGTGACCAGCAGACAGAATAGACATTGAGGGAGGACTGCCGCCTCCTGGAGCATTGAGATGCCGTGTGGGTCTCCAGCAACTTAGATGCTGCCTTGCAGGGGGGCAGTGATGAGTTTCATCAATTGATGAGTTTCAGTTTCCACCTAAAAAGGACTAGGTAGGCCTAGATTTACTAAGATGATGTTCTCTTCTCTGTGTCAGATGGAACGGGGCTTGAATCAGACATGCAGACATGCAGTTGGACTGGGCCATTCCAGACATTGTGTGAAGCCCTGGGCTGAGCACTGTCATTTATTTCTACAACAATCCTGCCGAGCAATTAGCCTCCTCCCATTCTCAGAGAATAAAACAAAGGCTGGGGAAGGGGGAGTCACATGCCTGAAGGTGGCCTGTCTTGTAAGTGGCAGAGATGGGATGTAAACTCAGGGCTGACTTCAAGGCCTGTCTTCCTTCCACCATAAAAAAAAAAAAATGCTGGGCGCCTGGGTGGCTCAGATGGTTAAGCGTCTGCCTTCGGCTCAGGTCATGATCCCAAGGTCCTGGGATCGAGTCCCGCATCAGGCTCCCTGCTCCTTGGGAGCCTGCTTCTCCCTCTGCCTCTCTCTCTCTCTGTCTCTGTCTCTCATGAATAAATAAATAAAAAGTTTAAAAAAAAATGCTAATATATGAACAACGCTGGTTACCTTTCAGCGAGCACTTCCCGTGGGTCCTGCCTCATGCCTAAGACTACAAGCATCCTCGTGTTTAAATCTCACACCACCCGACGAGGGAGATTCTGTTATTTTGCCCACTGTTACAGGTGAGGACACTGAGGTACAGGGAGGAGATGGACCGGCCCATGCGCATGAGCCCAGGCAGTTCGCCCCATGTTCCACACTCTTACCAACCGGGGCAGTTCTCACACGCCGTCACGTGACCTTCAGAGACACTTGTACATTATTGGGATTCCGGGATCTCCCTCTACACACTGTTGGGGTGTTTGGGGGCAGCAGGGGTAGGGTGGGAAGGGGGAAGAGGTGTGGGTGGGCACTGGGCCTCAGCTCACCTCCTCCTGCAGAGTCTCCATCTCGGCCACCAGATGCTGCTGCTCCTTCTCCTGAAAGGCCCCAGAGAGAGGACAAAGGCTCCTTCTGGGGCCTCCTTGCCCCCATATTGCCCTTCTCCCACCCCTGGGAACCCCTCTCGGGTCTGGGTCCTGGAGGAGCAAGGCTGGGAGAACGGGTCTGGGAGCCCCGAGGGCTCCTGCTGTCCCCTCTGTCACGAGAGGGGTGGCAAATAGATCTGGACCCTGAGTCTGGGGCGAGCAGGACCTGGAGTCAGGGAGGAAGCCAGGGTAACCTCTGCCCCTTCCCATTCCATTGTCAGGCTCTGTTGCTCAGACTGCAAGAAGGGGGGAAAGATGAGGGCACCTTTGTGCCCCTTGCCCGGAACCCACCGTCTGCCGGGCCTGGGCCAGGAGGCTGCGATTCTGTTCCTCCAGGTTCTTGGCCAGAGTCTTCAGGTCCTCCAGCTCCTCATCCACAGCCTTGGCACACTGCAGAGCCTGCTGGGTACTGAGTGGGGGCAGGGCGGGGGGGTACACGGGAGGGAAACAGAGACCAGAGAGACGGAGCCACTCAGTCAGTCAGAAGCAACAGAGAAATCCTGACAGGGACCTGGGAGTGGGGCACAGAGACCCAGAGGGAAAAGCAGGGAAAGAACCTAGTGTAGGAGACAGAGACCCAGTTTCTACCTAAAAGACTAAGGAGGTGGGACAGAGACCTGGGAAGAGCAGGAGACTAAAACAGGGGGAACATGACGGACACGAGAAAGATAGAGCACCGGGATGGGCATAGGCTGCTGATTCGAAGACGTAGCGGAGAGAGAGGGAGTCTGAACCCAAGAGGCTGAGAGACCAGAACCAGGGAGACGCAAAAGAGAAAGAGGAAGAGCAGAAGGGCACAGCACAGGATCGAAGACAGGGCAGGAGGTGCAGGGATAGCACGCGGAGAGCCCACCTGCGAAGCTGCTTGCGCAGGGCCGAGATCTCCTCCCCCAGGTGCGCAGACCCCTCCTCGGCCGTCTCCACGCTGCGCTGGAGCTTGGCGTTCTCCCCGGCCAACCTGCGGTTGCTGAGCTCCAGGTCCTCCAGGCTGCTCAGCAGGTCAGCGGTGGTGGGCCTGGGGTCAGGGAGGGGCTGGTCACCGGCCACAGTCCCCACCTCCCTTGAGGGGGCAGTGGCGGTGGTGGGGAGAGGAGGCTCTTCTGGAGAAAGACGAACAGGACAGAGACTGCCCCACTCTCCTGGGGCTAGCAGCGCAGCCCGCCCCCCGTCCCTCACCCCCCCCGAAGGACCCCGAGCCCTATGGCAGGGAGGCGGCAGGGAGGGCGGGTGGGGGAGCATAGGTACAGCTCAGGTCTGGGGTCTTCGCCTCCGAAGCTCTCCAGGTTGGCTGGCTCCTCGGCTTCTGGGCATCCTGGAGGGAGAGAGACAGAGGGTAGTGGGCTCCCCGGTGACCTTAGGTGTCGCTGAGCCCCAGGACTTGGGCTTGGCCTCCACCAGCCTCACCCTCGCATTTGTCCTGGGTCATCTCATCTGCTCCTGGGCTACGATTATATCCACCATCTGAAAGGCCTCTTGCTCACTGGTACTCTGAGCTCAGGCTGGATCTCTCTTGTAGCCCTGAATTCATCACACCCAGCCCTGGGCAGCAGCACCTCAGCTACCCCCAAACCTGTTCCTCTTTGGGGTTTCCCTCCCGCCCACTCGCCCAGCCACTGGGCTGTCCTGGCTCCCTTGCTCCTCCTCATCCCCCCAGTCTCCGCCCCGAGTCCTGGCCCTGACCTTCCTCCCTGACTCTGTTCCACTCTCCTCTCTGTCGTGGCCAGGCCTGGCTCAGGCTTCTCCCTCTCCTCCTGGACCCTCACCACAACCTCGTCCCCAGCCTCCCGGCCTCCAGCCTCCTCGTCCCGTCCTTCCCTCATCCAGAGGGGTGTTTCCTCAACAGGAGCTGACCTGCCCCTCCCCTGGCCCCCAATTGGAAGACGCTCCAGAGAATGTCAAGAAAGCTGTTTTTTTCTTTTGTTTGTTTTTGTAAGGTATACGGAACACTTTTTTTGGAGCACCTCCTATGTGTGAGGTTCTAGGGATAAAATGGGGAACGGATCAACTAACCACACAGCAGGGCGGGTAACTGAATCAGACGGTCAGAGTTCTCCGGGAAAGCAATGCAGGTCTGTGAGTGAGCCTGGACAGCCAGGGACCTCAGCCCGGGGCGGCCCGGGGCTTCCCCAGGTGTGGGAAGTTTAGGGAGAACCACCTGAGCAGAGGAGCGTGGTGGGCAGGCCCGCAGCACATTCCGGGCTGAGCCAGGAGGCCCAAGGGAGCAGGGACTAGAGAGTAGGCGGGAGCCCAATGACGCTGACAAGGAGAGGTAGGCAGGGCCTTGCACGCCTCTATGATAGGGCTGCAGTAGGGGGAGGATTTGGAACCAGACCCTGAAAGGAAAAAAACCCCAAAGCTCAGGGAAGGTGGGGAGGCAGCCATGGAGGTGCCTAGAAAGCCAAACTCACAGCTCCAGGAGAGAGCAAAGGTTCCAGGGGTCCCACCCAATGCCCCTGGCTCCCATCCCCAGGTGGGAAGTCCCTCCCACTGTCTGACCCTGGGCGGGCCTGCTTCATTCTATATATAGTAGTCTTACCAGATGGCAGTTGCTGGGAGGTCAGGGCCCCCTCGAAGGCTGTCTCCTCTTCCAACTCTAATCCCCTGTATCAAAGGGATGAGGCTTAGAGCCCCCTGCAGCCATTCCCAATCCTGACCAGCCACACAGGGGGATTGCTGGGGGCAGGAGGAGGGGTCAGGTCAGGTGAGAGCAGGAGCACTGAGAGCACCACGGTGGGGAGGAAGGCAAGGCCAGATGGCAAGAGCCCTGGGCCAGATGGAAAAGCAGGAGGGGCAAGGACTGGGTTTGGAGAAGGGATGGGGAGGGGCCTCTGTCAGCCCCCCAGCACCCCCACGTCTCCCCCTTCCAGCCCCTTTTATTTTTGCCTCCCCATCCCAGGAACTTTGTCTTCAGACCTTCCACCCCATCCCCCCAACCCCATCTCTTCACTTTTTTCTCCTCCTCAGCTTCCTTCAAACCACAGCAGGTTCCTGTGCCCAAAGGGTGCTGGCAGCAGTAAGGAGGTGTGAGGTTAGATCTTAGGAAAGACTTCCCAGGGGAGGGGTTGGCAGTGCAGAGACCCACCCATCCAACTGACAGGCAGCGATCCAGTCCCGCATGACGGCCAGGAAGGTGTCCAAGTCCACAGTGGCCTGAGGGCCCTCCCCATTGGGGTCCAGGTTGCAGGCCAGTGTTTGGAGGCGTGCATCCTGGGGGTCCTGTCCCGTCACAGCCTCCAGGTAGGCTAGTACATGGGTCACAGCCACAATGCCTGGGGACAGAGCATGCTGTGAGGGAGTCTGGGGTAGGTGGGGGGTAGGGGCAGGCGATGGCTTGAAAGTAGGACACCAGTGACTGGGCTAGTGACACCCCGGCACAATGGCTTAACCCAGACACTTTGGGAAAGTCCTTCCCTTCCTCTGAGTTAAACTTTTCACCTGGAAATAGAGCCCAATCATCGTCACTCAGAGGGTGGACCAAAGAGGACCTGCTGTACCCCATCAGGCCCACAGTGGCTGCCCTCCCTACCTCTCCCCATGCCTACCCTCTTCCATTAATGTCCTCACCCTGAATGTCTTCCCACAATCACCCACCTCGCCCTGCAGGTCCCCCAAGAAGGGGCCCTAGTCCATCCCTCTCTCTATGGCTCCCTAGTTCCCAGCCACCCTCCCCCATCCCTTATTACTCCTCCTGTTTCCCAGGCTCACTGCTGCCTGGCCCCCATCCTGCCCCCGCCAACCTGTCCTTTGGGTGTCACAAGCTTCGAACGTAGAGTTGAGTATTTGCTCCTCCAAGCTCAGCAGCGTCCCCACACTGCCCTCCTCCAGCTGATCCCAGAGGTACACTAGGGAGACAAGAGGGTCAACCGGCCCGTGAGAAGGGGGCCAAGAAGAGAAGGAGCGACCCTAGGTCCTGTGCTCCTGCAGAGGGGAGGGAATTCATTCTGAGCTACTTGGAGTGGGAGCTGGTGGGGAACAGCAGGAAGCTTCAGGGAGGGGACAGTAACGTAAGGGTCTTTGAGTGGCTTCCTAGCTCCGTACGAGGCTGTGGGCCCCATCTCTCAGGCCAGGAAGTCCCCCTGCTGTCTAATCTTTTGTGTCCAAGCCACTCAGGAGCCCAGATAACAAACAAAGGCTCTGAGATCACTTTTGCCTCCTCTCTTCCCTTACCGCTCATGCTCTGCTCAGAGGGGGCTGGGGCGGAGGAGGGCAAAGAAGAGAGGATTCTGGGAGGAGCCGAGGGTGAAGGGGGGCCCCCCGGAGCCAGGAACAATCCAATAAGGCGCGGGCAGCCTGGATCGATTCTGCCGGCTGTATCTCCGGTCTCCCGGCACGCCTGGGGGGCCGGGTCTCTCTCCTACCTGAACCCCCAGGCGAGGCTGGCGTCATTGGCGCCCACAGCCAGGGGCCCAAGATGAGAGGGGGTGGGTGATCTAGGTAGGGCAGGCGGTGGGGGAGCAGTTAGGAGCTCAGAGCCCAGCCATACAACAGTGGGCAAGTCGATTCTCCTTTCAGAGCCTCAGTTTTCCCACCAGTAAAATGGGCAGGTAGTGATCCCCCAGCCCCAGGGCTGGGAATGTTATGTTTGTGTGTGGGAACAGCCCTCCCAACATACACATACAACGTGCATGTCCCCGGGTCTGTTTGTCCACTGCTGTATCCACAGTGCCTGCACATAGTAAGCACTCAATAGATGCTCCAAGATACAGGAGGAGATCCTCCACCCTTGGCGTTACTGGATTCCATGTCTCTGGGACTGTAAGTGACTTTCCAGGCTCCCTGCCCTGCCCTTGAACAACTGGGTATAGCAGCATGCCCAGCACAGGCTGCTGGGTCTGACAGACCCAAGGGGCAACCCGAGCAAGGAGCATAGACTCTCTGAGCCTCAGTTTCTTCCTCTGGAAAATGGGGGTGTTCCTTCCCTCCTAGAGAAGTGAGATAAAATCTAGAAAGGCCCTGGGCCCAAGGCCTGGCATGTGGTGGAGGCTCAATCACAGAGCTGAACATTTATCTAGCAGTTAGTAGATGCCCTTCCTCTTCTGGGGGTTTTCTGTGGACCATGGTGGCTGCTATTAGCCCCACATTACAGATGAGAATATTCATTCAGTCATGGAGAAGTTAGGAACTTGCCCCGGGTCACCTGTTCAACACATGAATGCTTTTTTTTTTTTTTTTTAAAGTATGGACTCCGTGCCCAATGTGGGACTTGAACTCACGATCCTGAGATCAAGAGTCGCTCTGCCGACTGAGGCAGGCAGGAGTCCATGAGCGCTCTTAATTCCCTTTACTCTCCGGGGTTCTTTGTAGAGAGCTAAAATTCAGCCCCTTCAGGTTTGAACGTTTGAACCCATGCTCCTAGGGAAGGGGGGAGGGGACCCACAGTTAGGGGACACCAGGGCCCCTGCTGGGGCTTTATCTCCTCTCGCTGTGCTCCCCAGGTTACGGAGGAGGACCAGGAGCCCAGCGAGCTCACAGGCCTCACGAACTCACTCCCCAGGGCTGCTCAGCCAGGGAGAGCGGAGCCAGACTCAGCCTCGGACCGTCTGGCTCAGGGGATCCGCACAGGTCCACGGTCCCTTTCTGGGACCCCCCAGGAACATGTCACTGCTTCTCCTGTTCTCTTTCCTTCATTTCTGTCCTCAGTGTCTCTACCTCTCTCTGTCTCTGTCTCTGCCCTTCTCTGGTTTTCCCTCTGGCTCCTCCTCTCCATCTTCCTCCCCATCCCTCTCTTTCTGGAGCCTTGCCTCTCTGTTATCGTCCTCCCCATTTCTCCATCTCTGGGTTCTTTTTCCATATCTCGGCGACTCTCCGTTCCCCAAGCCTCTGTCTCCTTGCCCCAGTGTCTCCGCTTCTTCCCCCCCTCGCCCCCCAGCCTTCCTCTGTCTTGTCTCCATCTCTCCTGGGTGTGTCCTTCCTCTTCCTTCAGGAGCCTCCCAAAGCTGGCTCAGTCCTCGCCCACAGGAGCGGTGGCCGCACGCCCTCTGCTGGTGCCCACGAAGTTGCCATGTCAGTCACTCTGTCCATCTGCCCTCGGGTCCCCGACCCCAGGTGTCTGCCTCCTGCCTTCCCCTCCAGAAAGCCTCCTGAGGCCAGAGTCCAGGCCTGCGGCCTTGAGAAAAGACACAGGCTCTGCTGCTGGATGCTGGGAGCCTTGAAAAAGGGATCCTGCCTCTCCCCTAGGGTGGGAGCCTCCTCCCCCATCACAAAGAGCTCTCCCACTTAGCAGGTGAATTTCAGAGAGGGCCACCCAGCGTCTCCCTGCTTCTTCCTCCCAAAGCCGGCTTTCACGCCGCTTTGGTCTGCATCCATCCAAACAATCAAGGACTATAATTGAGCGCCTAAGAGTCAGACACTGTTTTAGGGCGGCCACTTGCCACACGCGGTTCTTGAGTATTTAAACTGTGGCGCGTGGGAACTGAGACGCTCTGTTAGTGTAAACTACACGCCGGATCTTGAAGCCTTGGTATGAAAAAACAAAAGAATATCTCTGATATATTTTTATATTAATTACACGTGGAAAGGATACAATTTTGGATATATTAGGTTAAACAGAATCTATCGTTCTCACTCATTTTGACTGTTTTTTTTTTTTCTTTTAAATGTGGCTACTTGGGGCGCCTGGGTGGCCCAGTCGTTTGGGCAGCCGGCTCTCGATTTCAGCTTGGGTCATGATCTCAGTGTCCTGGGATCAAGCCCCGCATTGGGCTCTGCACTTAGCGGGGAGTCTGTTTGAGGCTCTCTCTCCCTCGCCCTCTGCCCCACCCCCTCCATTCTCTCTCTCAAATAAATATATAAATCTTTAAAAAATCAAAAAAAAATAAATGTGGTTACTAACAAAATTTAAAATGACACTTATGGTTGGCATGTTGGACAGCGCTGCTCTAGGGACCGGGAATACCAGAGTGAATAAAACAGACCCCACCTCATGGAACTCAAGTTCTAGTGGGAGAGACAGAGATGAAACAGACAGACGAACAGATGAAGAGAGGCAGGAGAGGGGAGAGAATGTGAAAGTAAGCTTTTCAAAGGAAGCAGAGATCTGAATGAAGTGAGGGCTGAGCCAGTAAGTTATTAGGGAAGGGTGCTCCGCGCTGAGGGCACAGCGCATGCAAAGGTTTCTGCTCTAGCTGCCCCAGAGCAAACCAGATACGGTGTCCAGACAGGTGGGCACAGAGCAGGTTCTTCAACGACAGCTCGCTCCCCCACTCCCACCCTGCACCCCAAGGTGGAGGCTGGGATACCCTAAGTCACCTCTCCAAGTCCCCAAGGCACAACCTGGCACCCACTCACCCACTCTCCCTTCTCATCCTCCCATGGGGCAAACAGGGGGCCAGCCACCTACTTTTTGCAGTGGGGCCACCCGTCTGGCTCTCTGGCACATCCATGGGCCACCCTGGTCGCTCTGCGGCTGCTGGAGAAACTAACAGCCTGCCTCCATCACTGGGAGGGGCTGACAAAGGCTCCAATGCTCTGAGAGCTCCTGGAAGAACAAATGGGAATGGCCTCCTCAGACCAGCCACCCTGCCCCACCTGTGCCCCAGGCCGCTCTGGGTTCTTAGAACCTGTTTGCCCACCCCTGCCACGACAAGAGCAGCTCCCGCTCGGACCTGTTTTATGGATTGGAGGTGTGGGCTGGGAAAACGGGGGACCGAGGAGTGGGCAGCAGAGATCAAAGAGGGGGCTAGTGGGTGCAGGTCACGGCCTCCTTGCTTCCCTTCCACCCTTCCTCCCCACAGCCTGTCAGGTCACTAACCTTGTCCTTCCTGCCCTATGACTCTACCCTGTCCCCTCCTCTCCTTCCCTACAGCTCTGGGCCAGGCCCCATCCTCTTCCCCCTGGACCCTAATCTCATTCTCCTCCCCGGCCTCCCAGTCTCCATGCTTTCCCCTCCTCTCCATCTGCGCAGGGCCCCAGAGCTGACCTCCCCTCCCTGCTTAGTGTTCTCCCACGGCTCCCCAGCACCCCAGGGACAGAGCCTAGACCCTGGACCCGGCATCAAAGGCCCTGCGTGGCCCGGCCCTGCCTGCCTTCCCACCCCAAATCACACCTGCAGCTCCAGCAGCTCTGGACTGCATGCTCGGCCCCCAAACTGGGCTGGCTGTTCCCACCTCCAGGTCTCTGCCCGGGACACCCTCCTTTCCAGCCCTTCCCGTCTTGGCTCACATGTCCCCTCCTCTGGGAAAATGTTTCTGAATGAGCTGCTGTCTCTGGGTTTCCACACTGCCCCGGGCGACTGACCTGCCGCCTATCAGCCTGTACTTGGAACTGTTGGCCTTATCTTTCCTGCTTCAACCCCCCCCCCCCAACACCACCACCCTGGAGCCCTAGTGCCCTCAGCACTAAGTTCCAGCCCCTCTGGCTGGTGTGGGACAGTGCTCCCTGTAATTCCTTGCCTCTTTTTGTCACTTTTCTCTCCACTGGCCGACCTCCAGGTCCCTCACCCTCGTCACAGCCATGGGAACTCTGCCTCTTTCCGTGGTCTTCCCACACCACCCTCACCTATGGCCCCTGCCCTGGCTCACAGCCTCCCTGGGGAGCCTTCCCTGAGTCCCTGGACCAGTTAGGGATTCCCTCCTCTGTGCCCTGACAATGACCTGTCCTGCCTCCATTATAACCAGGTTGACCGTATGATTTATTGTCCCAACTCCAAGACACTTTTTTTTTTAAAGATTTTATTTATTCATTTGACAGAGACAGAGACAGCGAGAGAGGGAACACAAGCAGAGGGAGGGCGAGAGGGAGAGGCAGGCTTCCCGCAGAGCAGGGAGCCCGATGCGGGGCTCGATCCCAGGACCCTGGGACCATGACCTGAGCCGAAGGCAGACGCTTAAGGACTGAGCCCCCCAGGCGCCCCGCCAGTGTAATTATTAATAGCACCCTTCTCACTCTTGAAAGTGTCTTGGAGGGGCGCCTGGGTGGCTCAGTGGTTAAGCGGCTGCCTTCGGCTCGGGTCATGGTCCCAGGGTCCTGGGATCGAGCCCCGCATCGGGCTCCCTGCTCCGCGGGAAGCCTGCCTCTCCCTCTCGCCCTCCCTCTGCTTGTGTTCCCTCTCTCGCTGTCTCTCCCTCTCTCTGTCAATTAAATAAAGAAAATGTTAAAAAAAAATTACACTGGACAACAATGCCCATCGGGGGTGAACTGGGCACCCTGGGGCAAATGGTCAACACTGGGTCACCTGGGGCCTGTCTGTCCTCCCCCACCTGCTCGTCACCCCTTTCCTCACCAAGTCCTCCCCCCACCCTGCTCTCCCTGGCACCAGCTGGGTCCACACGCCTTGGCGGCTCTTAGAATGTTCTAGAAAGAGCGGCCTTTGAAGAGAAACCATCCCAGGGTTTGGACAATGTGGGAGGGCGCGGGGGGGGGTGATGGCCGAGGGGGGCTCGAGTGGGGAAGGGTCTGGCACTGGGAGCCCCTGACAGGGATTGTGGGGGGCGCGTTAAACTCCTGGTGAGCGTCCGAGGGAGGGTCTTTGAGAGGGCAGGTTCCAGCAGGAGGAGGCCACAGGCAGGGTTTAAGGGGGTCTGGATCTTCAAGTGGTCTCGACCAGGTTTCCGGGGCGTCTCTGGATTTCTGGGGGTGTCTGGATTTCAGCGGTCTCCGAGAGGATCTGGGAGGGGAAACTGACAGTTTGGGCGGGTTTGACGCGCCAAGTCCTGCCCCCACCCAGGACTTCGGGGGAGGGGCGGGGGTGGAACAGGATTTTGGGGGGGGGTAGTCGGGCAGGCTCTGAGGGAGAAGTCTGACAGAATTTCGAGAAGACTCTGACAAGATTTCAGGGGTCATCTATTGGACTTCCTCCTGAGTCCTTTCCAGTATTTCTGAGGGTATCTGGTCAGGATTTCTGGAAAACTTTTAACAAGATTTGGAAGGCCTTGATATTGGGGACGCTCCCCCACGATTCGGGGGCTCTGACAGGGCTTCTCCGGGGAACCTCCCCACAGCCAGGACGCACCTGGGTCCACGTCCTAGTCCCGGGACACAGCCGGGAGCCACGGCCGACCAACGGTAGTTGGGGGTAAGAAGCTTCGCTTGCGCCGTATCCGCCAGGAAAAGAGGAGAGAGGGGGCGGGGCGGGACCGAGAGCGCGCGCGGCGTCTAAACCCCGCCCCACCTGGGCTCCTCCCCGCGACGCAGGCGCACACCGGGAGAAGGCTCGCTCTAGTTTGTCGGTTACCTGCAACCGCGGGGCCGCGCTTGCGCAGGGCTACCCGGGCGCGCACGCCGCCTGGTGGAGCGGGCGCATGCGTATTGGCCGAGCGGGCCAAGGCTGGAGGAACCAGAGCCGGTAGGGGGAGTGAGGGGCGTCTGCGTCCCCTTCGCTGGGGTCGTCTCTCCCGCCTCAAGCTTGGGTGCAGTGGGCCCAAGCAAGGGAGATTTGGATTGAGGGACCCCCTGGCCCATCCCCACGTCTTATCACTATTAAGTCATGCCCTTTTTGCCGTGTGTTCCGTGCCAGGCTGCCCGTCACCGTCACAATGATGTCCTACCCTGTCTTGCCCTACCACTCCCGCGCCCTCTGTGGCTTCCAGTCCCTGAGGATTCTTTCTCAAACCGTTTCATTCATTCCTATAAGGAGAGTGGGGGGAAAAAATATTCTCAGCTTTCCCAGCTAGAGAGAAGAGAATTACAGCCAAAATCGACTCCCAAGAATGGGGGTTTGGGACACAAGATGTCCCATACAGGGGCGCCTGGGTAGCTTCAGTCGGTTGAGCATCTGCCTTCGGCTCAGGTCATGATCCCAGGGTCCTGGGATCGAGCCCCACGACAGGCTCCCTGCTCAGTGGGGAGCCTGCTTCTCCCTCTCCCTCTGCCTGCCTCTCTTCCTGCTTGTGCTCACTCTCTCTGTCACTTTATTTATTTACTTGACAGAGAGAGACATAACGAGAGGGAACACAAGCAGGGGAAGTGGGAGGGGGGGAAGCAGGCTTCCCGCGGAGCAGGGAGCCCGATGTGGAGCTTGATCGGAGAACCCTGGGATCATGACCCGAGCGGAAGGCAGACGCTTAACGACTGAGCCACCCAGGCGCCCTAAATAAATAAAATCTTAAAAAAAAAAAAAAAAGTCCCATCCACTCCGTCTTTCTGATAGCAGAGACACAGAAAAGGAATCCTTCTGCATCCTCCCGTTCATGCCACTATCGTTCATTCAGCTGTCACTTCCTCAGAGAGACCTTCCGCTGCCGCCGCACTGCCTGCATTAGGCCCCCATCTCACTAACCACTTACTATTTCTTAGTGGTCCTGATGGGGTGTCTCACAACGTGACATATTGTCTATCTGTGTATTATCACCCCCACTGGAATGTGAACTATATGCAGTAGGAGGCTGTTTTGGGGCTAGAAGATGCCTGGCCCAGTGTCAGTGCTCAAAAAAAAAAAATGGTGTTGAATGAATGAGTGAACCAATGGATGGAATCCAAGCCTCTTAACTCCTGGGCAGTATAGAACTGATGACAAGGCTGTGGGCCTGGAGGCAGACATTCTTGGGGTTGAGTTTTGGCTCCATCACTTCCTTGGCATTAGGGCTTACCCTCTCTGAGCCTCAGGTTTCTTTCCAGAAATGGAGATAGTAATTGCTTCTTAGGTTCCCTTGAGGACTCAAGGTGGTAGTCGCTGTTAATTGTTATTATTATGGCTATTAGATGGTGACTTGTTACAAGGCCTGGGAAAGAACCTGTTTGACAGGTGATGTGATGACTGGTTAAAAGTGTGAGATGGGGCACCTGGGTGGCTCAGTCGGTTGGGCGTCTGCCTTTGGCTCAGGTCGTGATCCCAGGGTCCTGGGATTGAGCCCCACATCGGGCTCCCTGCTCCTTGGGAAGCCTGCTTCTCCCTCTCCCAGATCCCCCTGCTTGTGTTCCCTCTCTCTCTGTGTCTCTCTCTGTCAACTAAATAAAATCTTAAAAAAAATAAAAGTGTGAGATATGGAATCAGACAAACCCAGTGCCATTGCTGTGTGACTTTGGCAAGTGACTTCACCTCTCTGAAACTCAACTTCTTCTCTATGGGAACAAGTAGTACCCACTTCATTGGGTCTTGAGAGTTAATAAGAACGTTTACCAAGTGTTTTCTTGGCACAGGCTGTCTAGTGGTGGAGTCCTTGGCTTTATTAGTATAAGTTCATTCTTTCTGTTTATTTCTTCAGTATTTCTTGTTCCTTCCTCCTTCCTTCCCTTCCTTTCTTCCTTTTTGAGGTGTGGATAATTTTGTAAGCCCTAAAAATTAAAAAAAATTTTTATATATAGTTGTAACATAAAGTGCTAAATCTTAAGTTATAACTCAGTTAAATTTGTATAGAGTAGGGGTTCCTGGGTGGCTCAGTCAGTTAAGCATCTGACTTCAGCTCAGGTCATGATCTCAGGGTCCTGGGATAAGCCCTGCATCAGGCTTCATGCTCATCGGGGAGTCTGCTTCTCCTGCTCCCTCTTCTCCTCCCACTGCATGTGTGCTCTCTCCCTCTCTTAAATAAATAAGTAAATAAATCTTTAAAAAATTTGTACAGAGTAATACATTAATGAAACCACCCAAATAAAAAAAGAGAGTATTGTCTACAACCCCGAAGCCTTATTTGCACCTCCTCCTAATCATTACCTTCCATAGGTAACTACTTTTGATTATGGTTTCGTTTGCTGAACATTATGTTTATGAGATTCATTGCATAGCAGTGGGCTATTCTTTTCACTGCTGTATAATTTCCCAGTGATGAATATGCTACAATTTTACCAGTTCACTTGATGGGCATTGGGTTGTTCCTGCTTCCTGGCGATTATGAGTACTGTTGGTATGAATTATTTGTTTAGATTTTCTTTAATCAGTTTCAGTAATGTTTCATAGTTTTCCGTTTAGAGACCTAGCAGATCTTTTGTTAGGTTTATTTCTAGGTTGTTTTATTTTTTTATGCTAACACGAATCATTTTTAAAATTTTCATTTGAATTTTTTTGTTCTAAATGTTTAGGGGTATAATTGATTTTTTATTTTTAGATGCAGTGAAGGGTAGCAGAATATGCCACCCCAAAACATACCACTATGGTATAAGGATCAATGTGAGCAGAAGACAACTGAGAAGAAGCAAATACAAGAAAAGCTCTCTGCTCTCCTCCTATTTGTCTGAAAGCTGGACATAAAGGTGTTTCCCCTCCCCTCTCTACCAGGAAGGATAAAAGTTCATAACTCTAGACAACTCTAGAGTCTTATCAACTCAGACACAACACCGAAGGAATCCATACAGTAAACTTTATTAACTAGCTCTTATTCTCCACTCGTTCCCCCATATATATGCTTTCCTACAGTGTGCAGTCCTAGAAACTCAAAGCCATTTTCCTTTGTCTTCTCACTTCTCTGAAAATGTACAGTACTTTTCAAAAGCTGCTGTATAAGTCCCAATTCTTTTTTTAAAAAAGATTTTATTGGGGCGCCTGGGGTGGCTCAGTCGTCAAGCCTCTGCCTTCGGCTTAGGTCATGATCCCAGTGTCTTGGGATCGAGCCCCGCATCGGGCTCCCTGCTCAGCAGGAAGCCTACTTCTCCCTCTCCCACTCCCCCTGCTTGTGTTCCCTCTCTTGCTGTGTCTCTGTCAAATAAATAAAATCTAAAAAAAAAAAAATATTTGAGAGGGAAGGAGCATGAGCAGGGGAGAGGGGTAGAGAGAGAAGGAGAAGCAGAGTCCTCGCTGAGCAGGAAGCCTGACACAGGACTCGATCCCAGAACCCTGGGGTCATGACCTGAGCCGTAGGTAGACGCTTAACCTACTGAGCCACCCAGGTGTCCCAAAACCTAAATTTTCAACAGAAAGTTCATTTTTATTTATGCCTGTGCATTTCTAGGTTCTTGAGTGTGTTGGGTCTGTCTGTGCGGTGATCCGACCCTGAGCCTGGGCTTCGAGGGAGAAAGCTCACGTCATGTCTGTATCCCCTCTCGAGGGAGGGTTCTCAGAGAGAATAGGAGACATGCTGGGCATGGGGCAAAGTGGACAGGGCACCCAAGACAGGGTCTGTGAACTTCCAGGTTTGGCAGAGGCACTAGACCTGGCTGGCACATAACTGGTGTGTCAGGTGTTGGGCATGGAGGGATAGACAGAGAGACAAAGGGAGAGGCAAACAGCAAGTTGAAGATGGAGTCAGCATGTAAGTCAAGACTCAGAGAATGAAAAGATAAAAATGAGAGCGTGCAGGGGCACCTGGGTGGCTCAGTCGGTTAAGTGTCTGCCTTCAGCTCAGGTCATGATCCCAGGGTCCTGGGATCGAGTCCCGCATTGGGCTCCCCGCTCAGCGGGACGCCTGCCTCTCCCCCTGCTTGTGCTCTCTCTCTGACAAATAAAAATCTTTTTTTTTTTTTTTGAGATTTTATTTGACAGAGACAGACAGAGAGAGAGGGAACACAAGCAGGGGGAGTGGGGGAGGGAGAAGCAGGCTTCCTGCGGAGCAGGGAGCCCGATGCAGGGCTTGATCCCAGGACCCTGGGATCATGACCTGAGCCAAAGGTGGACACTTAACAACTGAGCCACCCAGGTGCCCCTGACAAAAAAAAAAAAAAAAAAAGGCAGATTCTTCCTGCATCCTCCAGATAAGAACCCAGCAGGCCAACCCCTTGATTTTGACCTTGTGAGACCCTGTGCAGAGGACCAGCTGAGGCATCCCGGATTTCTGACCTGTAGATATGCGGGAGAATACATATGCATTCTCAGTTGGTTTGTGGTCACTTGTCAGGTCAGGGATAGAAAACAAATATAGAGGTTGGAGTGAAGGTGTTGGGAACAGGAGGACAGACAGGGCTGGAGGTGACAAGGTCAGCGAGTTGCTCAATGAGCAGGCAGACGTCTGAGTTTTTCTCACTCACTGAGCCTGGAGACCTTGGCAAGAGCTGGTGGCATAAGCCAGATGTCACTCTTAAGGCTAGGGTTGTGGGGACTTGCCATGACCCAGTTGGCTGAGGCCTGGGGACAGATCCTGAAAAGAGAAAGTGCTGCTAGATATAAGAATTTTATTTCTATATGGTGCTTGGGGTGGGGTCTGGTGGGGGGTACATGCAGGTGTTCCCCGGTCCCCACCCCTATAGCTGCCGGGAGGGCCTGAGGATGTACAAGAAGTGGGTCTT